TATTTGTTTACCCTCGGACTAGACTCCTCTTCTTCTGTTTTCCCATGAATTAAGATAACAGTCTTTATCTACATATCTACGAGGGATGTCATAAGCATTAGTTAATGTTAGTATAATGGTTTTAAAATGTAATGTATTGTATAAATACAAGACATTTTAAAAAATAATTAGAATTAAAATGACTGTTCATAACAACTTCAGCGACATTGGAAATTGAAATCTTTTTCTTATTGATTTTTTCCACTATTGTGTATGCTCACTGATTTATTATAATGATTCTTCACAAGATGATTAATGGCATAGATTTGTTTTTCATTAAAGAAAAAAGAACACTGAAAACATACACATAGATTTACATAGACAAAATATAACGAGATTTCATTTATGGCCTACAAGCCTTAACATATTCTTAACACATAAAACTCTTTGAGAGTGTTTCTGAATATTTTAGTGTTGTATTGTAAGTAGCAACAGAGCGTTTCTGACATCCATATTCATAGCTGATGGATCAAGTAAACCTACTCAATCTGTGACTGAAATATTAATTTCCAATTCTGACGTAAGATGTGGCATCATTCGAACTGACCTTCAGATTGGCTATGACAACCCAGCTTACTGTATGTCTCATATCAAATGCCTTGCCTGAATGATCCTGTTTCTGAAGAAATGAGAAGACCTTTATGTGACATGTTTTCCTCCTGATTTCAATAGGTACATATGAAAAATGTTTCTCCTGTCATATCTGGCAAATCAGAAGTACATTAACTAATACATGGGATAAGATGAGTAGTCCTGCATGATAATGGATTGGAAGCTATAAAATTTTCTCAGACAAAAGCCAATCAGAATTTAATATGTTTTCAAAAATAATGGCCTATCTTTTTAAAGTAAAGGTTATAAATATATTTGACTGAACTAATACTTTTTATATTGATTTGTAACTGGTTAAATCCTATTTTTAAAAGTCTTGTTTCCTATATTTATAAAATGTGCCATATCTCTCTTGATTTAGGACTGGATTCAATAAAATATAACTATATTTATTTTTTTAAATAATAGAGAGTTTCTCTGAAGCAAGAGTCATAGAAATATCACAAATACACAAGTTGAAGGGTCAAAGATGAAGCAGACATCTTAAGCCTATAAAAGTCTTCCAATGTTAACTAATCATTCATTCTAAAGCAGTTGGACAAATGTTTTTAAATGTATTTAATCAGATCTGTAAAAGGCTTCAGTGTTATAATTAAAAATAACAGGATAATATTTATAAACGTTTCCTTTTGCAAATTAATTATCCAAGTCTACATTCTTTCCACACTATAAATATTGACTATTTTGGATGAGATTTGCAAGAAATGTGGGATCAGGCCCTAGCTGTGTCACTAATACCACTCCTTTTTAAAAAGAAGAGTTATGCCAATGACTCCAATAGGAACTGGAAGAGACCCTGTACCTCTTGATTTACAGTAAAAGAATAAGGGCCAGTTTCTGAGGTGATCAATACCTACAAGTCTCAAATGGAGAAGCTCAGTATCTCTTGGGATCGGTTCCTGCTTGAATTGTTGCTAAACAATTTGGTACAAAACTGTTTTTAATGTTGAGCATTGTACCACTTCTCTTTTGTTCTTCTGTCTCTTACTGTCAGTTTTACTTTCATATCATAAAAGCAACTGCAATAACCAGCAGACCAGAACCAGAGAGATTGTGGAGACAGGAGAAGCACAAACTGTCAGTGATAAATTTACTGGATATATTATGGAGCTAAAGAAGCATAAAAGTTGAAATGCTTGGCATCATATACTCAGCCACAGCACAATATGAGGTTAAATAATATGCATCTGACGAAAACGAGTGACGAAGTTGGGAATGGCAGTCAAAACAAGAAAGCAGAAAGGTGAAATAAAAGACAGATTGAATTAAGATATTGTTTTCTTTTCTTCATTTTCTGTAAAGAATAAACTCATTCAAAATAATAAACTTTTATTAAAAGATTTAATTACCTGCATAGGTAGAATAGAGGACAGAAGTATACTTGTATTTGTTACAATTAAACTCACTTTATTCTAGAGTGATTACAAATGTGGGGAAAACATATACCTCCCAAAGTACCTTATAGCAGGTTTGCTTATTAGAGATGTAAAATAAATTCCCAATAATATCAGGTAGAGCCTACTATGTGTGCCTTTAAAATGAACACCATACATATTACGGAGTATTCAGTGTGGTTTGAGGGCACGGAGTAAAGTAGGAAGGTGAAATGGGCTATTTGGAAGTTCTACATAAAAGACTTTTTCTTTGCAAAAAAAATAAAAATAAAAACTATGCTCTTTTTCTTTCCAAACATTAGTAATAAAATATATTAGCATCAATATTAACTGCTAAAATAGGGGTTGTGCCACTTAAATTACTGTAATATTGAATAGAATGTTATCTTTATTATCACCTTTTCAGAAGTTTATTCTCTTGGTGAGGTTACTTACAATTTTACACCTCTCCATGGTAGACAACTACTGATATTGAAAAACATAGCATTTTCTTGGCTCACCACAGATGGTGTGTGGCAAGAATAAATAACAGAAAAGTTTGTAATGGTTAGCAATCAAATATAATATCTCTTTATTTTTAATTCAAACAGAAATAGAAAAATGGTTTAAGTTTTCAACACCTGATTCATGTTTGCACCACTTTCAAAACTGGCCTTGAAATTTACAGTCGAAAGAATCTGCAGACTACAGGCGCAATCCTCCAGGTTCTTATGCAGAGCCCTCCTTACAGAGCCGTCCTATGTTGTTCAAGACCGACACAGCTATTTTCATTTCTCAGTCCACTGCATTTTGTTAACTATTCAGAGAATTCCTCTTTTAACAATATATCAGACTCTCAAAACTATGTAATTGTTTTCAGCATCGCTCCTCTCTGCATGCACACACACCAGCAGAAACAGAACTTCGCACTTACGATCCTTGACTAGTCCATATTCAGTAATATGAGAAGTCAGGATCAACAAACCCATGAAATTTTAGCTAAGGATAACAGCTCCTTCGTGTGCGTTCATTTATTCCCCATTGAACAGCTTTGCTGCACATTAAAAAACAATCTCAGAGATGCATTAAAGTTTTTACAGAGAGTTGCAAGGCGAAACTCCAGTGCATGGCCCGGAGAACAGGACCCTGTGTGTGATTTGATGCATTTTCTACCTGGCTAAAAACTACCCACTGGATTTCAAGCTTTGGCAGAAAGCAAGGAGGAGAAATAGGGGGAAAAGGGTGCAAGGGGTCCTACCTTGTTCGAGGCCATTTCACTGACGGAGTGCCTGGTTTGCAGGGTCTCCAGCTGGTCCAGGCACCAGTCCAGTTCCTCCAGGGTCTCGCTGGCCAGTTTTTGGTAGGCCTCCTCTGCGAAGAGATAGGGAAAGGAGTACTCAGTTCTCAAGCGCTTCACAGGGCTAACAGCAAGCTCCAAAGCGTCCATCCTGCCATACCCAGCCATGCTCAGATGCCCAGTGCCCACACATGAGTGCTGCTCCTTCATATTGCTAACGCGGGGCACTGGGGTGGGGGGCAGGCTTCAGACTCCAGCCGGACCCCCAAAGGAACTGTCTGGGTAGCAAAGTCTCCAGTCCAGCCTCCTTCTTTTCGCCTCAAAGTCACCGGTGGAAACCAACATGTGCCGAGAGACGTGGAAGGTTCTTTTCCTGGGGGGGGTCAGTCTCTCAAGCGGCCCCTAGGCTGCATGATGCTCGCTGGAGGCAGCAGCGCCCGGTGCCCGCGGTTCGTCTCCTCGCTCCTCCGGGACGGCTGAACGGCTGATGCAGGGAGCTTTGCCTTGCCCAGGCTGGAGACAGGCAGCACCGCCTCCCCTCCCCTAACCCCCCCGTGAAGGCTCCGAGCAGAAATGAATCAGCGCGGCTGCTGCCGTGTGTGCGGCCACCACGTTTCCTGTGCTCCCAGCTCCTCCTCCTCCCGCAAGCAGCGTCCAGGCGGCTGCTCTCGGGGAACCCCTCTGCCCTGCCCCCCCTTCCCAGGCAGCGGGCTCCAGGTTGCCCTGTGTGGCACCGTGACACGAGCAGCAGGCGAGGCAAAGCCCCGCGAGCCAAAGTCCCGGGGCAGCGCCTCGTGTTCTCAGTGTGTGTGTCTGAGAGAGGGGAGAGCAGCAGAAAACCCGGCCTGGAGCTCGCAGCCGCCTCCTCTGCTGTCGCCTGAGTGAGCCCAGTGTAGAGCTCAAGGAGCAAACACATAGGGCCCGAGCCCTGGCGGCGTCTCCCCCACATGGCGCTGCCACCTGCCTGGGGCAGGGAGGGAACGCGCGCCCCCAATCCCACCGCCATGAGCGCTTATGTAACAGCGAGCGGGTCACAAGCTTTCGCCACAGCCTGGGGAGATGCGCCAACAAGATTAAAGACTCGTAACCCGTGGGCTCTGGGTTCTGCGCAGGCACTCAGCTGTGTCTGAGCCGCAGCTCAGCTGGCTTTGTCCAGAGCTCTCTGACCTGGTCCTTGAATCCTCCCTCTCCTAAGTGTATGTCTCAATGGCCTAGTCTTCACTGCACAATTGTCTACCATGCTTTGATGTCTGGCTCTCCATGTGCCAGCTTCTCTGCCTCAACTTCCCATTAATCCCAGGAGTGGGACAATAATAGTTTCTTCCCTAGTCTAGGGAGATGTGCAGAATTGATTCATAAAGCCCCCTGAAGATGTCATTCAGTGGAAGTGCTAAGTATAACAACATCTAGCCAAGGATGTAACAACAAATGCTTTTTCAAATATAGTGAAACCTTTGTTATGGGCACTCTGTTAACCAGAAAACTTTGTTAACAGTCATTGCCCCAGCCACAATACTGTCACAAGCGCACAGGCCTGGCTTGGTTTATCATGATCGGCTTAACAATTTTTTATTTAAGAAGTACTAATCATCTTTAACTCAAGATAGAAACGTGAAACCAACTGCCTCACACTACAAAACTACCAATATTAAAAACTGGAGTTTTACTATTTGGCTGTGTCTACACTGCACCCCTTTTCCGGAAAAGGGATGCAGATGAGACAAGTCGGAATTGCAAATGCAGCGGGGATTTAAATTTTCCCCGCTGCATTTGCATGAACATGGCTGCCGCTTTTTTCCGGCTCGGCGCTTTGCCGGAAAAAAGCGCCAGTCTAGACGTGGATCTTTCGGAAAATAAAGCCTTTTCCAAAAGATCCCTTATACCTCTTAAAAAAAGGAATAAGGGATCTTTCGGAAAAGGCTTTATTTTCCGAAAGATCCCCGTCTAGACTGGCGCTTTTTCCGGCAATTCCGGCAAAGCCCCGAGCCGGAAAAAAAGCGGCAGCCATGTTCATGCAGATGCAGCGGGGAAAATTTAAATCCCCGCTGCATTTGCAATTCCGACTTGTCTCATCTGCATCCCTTTTCCGGAAAAGGGGTGCAGTGTAGACACAGCCTTACTGTCCATTGGTTTTTCCTAGGTTGATAGGAACCAAAATTTTTGGATAACTGGAACGCCCTAGTCCCCGAGCATGCAGTATAACACTGTATTGCTGTAATATTTATTCTAAACCAAAATCCTGTGTGTGCATGTGTGTATACAATGCAACATACGATTTGCTCTGAGGAGGGGGGAGAAAGTGCTACTGAAAGCTCTCCAGAAGTTTACCCTGGAAATCCAGTATTACATTGGAAAGACTTTTGTCTTTTCTAAACTCTTAAGATGTTTGTCTTTTCTAACTTACTAAGTGTCATATTGCATCATGTTGTCCTACAAGATGTAGAAGTGGACTCAAAATCAAAATGGCCATGAACTCCCCACATACACACTAGCAAAATGACCCATTAGAACCTGCATGCAATGGTTGTCCTAAAGCTCATGATAATCAAGGAAAATATTTCCAAGGTGAAGATGTCATCTGTTAGGCCTGTCTATGATTTCTCCTACTGCAGTTGCATTTTTCACCAGGCTGAACTGAGTACACTTAGGACATGTGTACACTAGGAAATTGTTTCAAAATAACTTATTTTGAAATAATAACAAAAATAACTATTTTGAAATAGCGTGTGCATACTACAGGGAAGCCCAAAATTAGTTCAAGGCAGGTTCCCTTAATGTGGATGCCCTACCTCAACTATGAGCCCCAGGAAGCACTGGCGAGTAATTACTCTGAATGACTCTGGGGAGTAGTTATTTCGAAATAGCAGCAGTGGAGCATCCACACTACTGCTATTTTGGAATATGCGTTATTCCTCGTGGACAGCAGGAGTTATTATTTCAAAATACCTAGCCCCTTATTTCAAAATAGCAGGTTTGGTAGTGTGGACGCTCTGCTTGTTATTTCAAAATAAGGAGAGTTATTTCAAAATAACTTCCTAGTTTAGACCAAGGCTAAAACAGCAGTAGTACAGTAAGGAGCTCTGACTTGACCATTCACTTGGGGACCTGCATTAGGTTCCCAAGTTTGAAATGCTGGCATATTTGTTTCTAGAGTCAATGGCATGTAATTTCAAGGAAGAGAAAAGGAAACTCAATAGGTTTGCTCTTTCCTCCTAAAATAACTTTGTGAATTTGTCCCAGATGAAATTAAATCTAATCTTCAAAATGTCAACAAAAATTAAATAATAATAAACCATTCAGCACTGGCTGGTACCACAGCAGTTCAATGATTTGTTCTTTACGTCTGGGAAACTGGATTCCTTTTCATAACATTACAGTATGTTCCAAATGCACTTGTGTTCCCTCAACAGTCAAAATGTTTTTCCGTCTTTCAAAGCCAATACACACTTGTGCATAATTCCCATTCTCATTTGGAACAATCCAGTACTAAAGTAGCATGGGTAGAATTGTTTCAAGAAAACTGCAGTACTGGCCTTCATTATGGCTAGGCTATTGCTTCAAAGAGCACTAACAAATATTCAACAAAATAATTCCCACACAACTGTAAAATATCTTATTTACGGTAAGGCTATGTCTAGACTACAGGCTTTTTGTGCACGAAGCTTTTGTCAGAAGAGATCTTCTGCAAACACTACTTGCACAAGAGTGCATCCACACTGCAAAAGCCCATTGAGAAAGCGATGTGCTTTTGCGAAAGAGAATGTCCACAGTGCATGGATGCTCTCTCAAAAGTAAGCACTGATTGTGTGGTCTTTTAGATGCTGCTTGTAATGATTAGAACTGGGAGCACTCACTGGCTGTTGGGAATCTGGAAGCACGGGAAACAGGAAGGAGGGGGGAAGAGACGGGCCAGGCCTGAGTGAGAGCTACAGAGGGGAGCAGCAGCAGCTTTGTAAAGAAGTTTCACCTTTGTTAAATAAAGGCCTGTTGAACTTTGTTACTACCTTGCTTGCATGATACTATATTTTGGCGACGAGGATAGATTGGTATGCACAGAATGGTCACCAGGGTACCTGTACTTTTTCCTCTTTCCTCTTTTTGCACAAAACCCCCCTTTTCCCCATCCACACATGCCTTTTTGTGAAAGAACTCTTTTGTAAAAAGGCTTCTTTCCTTGTAGAAAGAGGAATACCAATTGTGCAAAAACCCCTCTGTTCTTTCGATTCTCTTGCACAAAAATGCACCTGAGGTGTGGACACGCCGCGAGTTTTTGTGGAAAAACTCCATAGTGTAGACATAGCCTAATACTTTCTATAAATGCTATCCAAAATAAAAAATATCCCGTGGCGTTTGAAATCAGGACTTTCCTGACAGTTTATGCATCAAAGCAGAACCTGTAACATTGTGTAAAACAATAAACATTATAGTTGATTAGCTACCAAAATTATCCTTACATATTGTAGTACCTAATTCTATTTATTATTAAAAGAAATATGTTTTTACTCTCAGGATACAGATTTCTTTAAGATAATATTTTAAAAGTATAAACAAAAAGTTATTTGATTCACAATATAGTTATGAAGTATATTGATCAGGTAGAGATAAAATGAATGGTCCCTAGGACTGGAAGAGACCTTGAAAAAGGTCATAATGTCCAGTCCCCTGCCTTCACAGCAGGACCAAGTACCATCCCTGACAGATTTTTCCCCAGATCCCTAAATGGCCTACCTCAAGGATTGAACTCACAATCGTAGGTTTAGTAGGTCAATGCTCAAACCACTGAACTATCTGCACCATAAGCTAAACAGACATTCCATTGAAATAAATAATAAAAACTGAAATGAGTTTAAGTGAATCCACATGATAATAGGATCACAATCTGATGTCTAGTTGATTGCCTTTCAACATTCCTTAAAATTCAGAAATTGGGGAAATACACAGTTTTCTTCACAAGGTAATTTTTTTAAATCTAAGATTATAGCAAGATGGGGCTCTTCGTCGCATAATAAAATAAAGTTGAAGGCTATCAGATTTTTGTAAAGTAAAAGGTATAGTTCATCTATTTGTTTTAAAA